TAGATGGGGAAACAGTAGAAACTGTAGCTGACTTTATTTTTGGGGGTTCCAAAATCACTGCAGATGGTGATTGCAGTCATGAAATTAAAAGACACTTACTCCTTGGAAGAAAAGTTATGACTAACCTAGACAGCATATTAAAAAGCAGAGACATTACTTTGCCAACAAAGGTCCATCTCGTCAAGGCTATGGTTTTTGCAGTACTCATGTATAGGTGTGAGAGTTGGACTATAAAGAAATCTGAGTGCCGAAGAATTGATGCTTTTGAACTGTGGTGTTGAAGAAGACTCTTGAGAGTCCCTTGGACTGCAAGGAGATCCAATCTGTCCATCCTAAAGGAGATCAGTCCTGGGTGTTCATTGGAAGGACTGATGTTGAAGTTGAAACTCCAATACTTTGCCACCTGATGTGGAGAGCTGATTCATTAGCAAAGACCCTGATGCTGGGAAAGATTGAAGGCAGAAGGAGAAGGGGAAGATAGATGGATGGCATCACTGACTCAATAGAGATGAGTTTGAGTAAACTCCAGGAGTTGGTGAGGGACAGGGAGGCCTGGCATGCTGTGTTCCATGGGGTCGTGAAGAGTTGGACACAACTGAGTAACTAAACTGAACTGAACTGAGCAGAGTCAAAGGCTTTCGCATAGTCAATGAAGCAAAAGTAGATGGTTTTTTTAGAGTTCCCTTGCTTTTTCTATGATTCATTGCATGTTGGCAATTTGATTTCTGGTTCCTCTTCTTTTTCTAAATCCAGCTTGTACATCTGGAAGTTCTTGGTATACACATACTGCTGAAGCCTAGCTTGAAGGATTTTGAGCATTTCCTTGCCAGCATGTGAAATGAGTGCAATGTACAGTAGTTTAAACATTCTTTGGCATTGCTTTTCTTTGGGATTGGGATAAAAACTGATCTTTTCAAGTCCTGTGACTACTGCCAAGTTTTCCAAATTTGCTGGCTTATGAGTGCAGCACTTTAACAGCATCATCTTTTAGGATCTGAATTAGATCAGCTGGAGTTCCATCATCTTCACTAGCTTTTTTGATCATGATATACAATCCTTTTAATCTGCTCTTGGATTCTATTTGATAGAATTTTGTTGAGGATTTTTGCATCTGTGTTCTTCAGTGATATTGGCCTATAATTTTCTTTTCCTGTGGCATCTTTTTCTGGTGTTTGTATCAGGGTGATAGTGGCCTTGTAGAATGAGTTCGGAAGTTTTCCTTCTTCTGAAACTTTGAAGAGTTTGAGCAGGATAGATGTTAGCTTTTCTCTAAACTTTTAGTAGAATTTGCCTGTGAAACCATCTGACTCTGGGTTTTTGTTTGGAAAATTTTTTATTACAATTTTGATTTCTGTTCTTTTGATTGGTCTGTTCTTATTTTCTTTCTTCCTGTTTCCATTTGGAAGTTTATGCTTTTCTAAGAAGTTGTCCATTTCTTCCAAGTTGTCCATTTTATTGGCATAGTTGTTCGTGGTAGTCTCTGGTAATCCCTTGTACTTCTGTTTTCTGTTGTAACTTCTCCTTTTTAATGTCTAATTTTATTGATTTGAGTCTTCTCTTTTTCTTGATGACTCTGGCTAATGATTTGTCATTTTGTTTAACTTCTCAAAGAACTAACTTTTGGTTTTATTGATCTTTGCTATTGTCTCCTTCCTCTCTTTTTCATTTGCTTCTCTCTGATCTTTATGCTTTGCTTCTACTAACTCTGGGTTTTTTTTATGAGAACACGACTTTAAGCAACTGTTTATTACACTGTTTCAGGCTACCATGGCAACACGTGTTCATTCCAGCAGCTGCTCTATAGCCTGCTTGGCTTTCTTCTCTCAGATTTCTGCCTTTGCAAAAATATCAGAACCAACCTGCCCTGGGGCAGCCTTCAGGCCCAGATCATTTTTTATTCTGGTCTGTGACACAAATAGACCATCTTGGGGATGCTAGGCTCCTGTTCCATTATCAATATACTCTGATATCTTAGACAAATTTGTTAGGGCTCAAGTTGCTCATCTGTAAAATGCGCATTTCTAGCAAAGTGTTTTACAAGTTTTAAGTAGCAGCTTCTTAGAAGGTGCATTAGTTTCCTGTTGTTGCTGTAACAAATTAATACAAAGTAATGGTTTGAAATGAGTTATTTTATATCCTTGGGATTCACAGTGCAAAATGGGGCAATAGGACTGTGATCTTCTGGAGATTCTAGGGGAGAATCCATTTGTCATTCCCAGCTATTTTAGGCATCTCACCTTCCTTGGTTTGTGGACAACCTCCTTCTAACTTCTGCTTCCACTGGTACATCTTTTCTGACTCTAATGTCTGTTTTACAGGGGACTTTGTGATTGAGCGCCCTTGGATAACCTTCCTATGTCAAGACTCTTAAGCACACCTGCAAAGTCCTTTTGGGACCATGAGTAGGTAACAACATTCAGTTTCTGGTGATTAGGATGTGGACATGTTGGGGGGTGGTCATTATTCAGCCTACCATATGAGATCTAGAAGCCATTTAAGTAGCCAACAGTTTTTAAATGCCATTTTAAGAAGTGCATGCAGCACATGCCATATGTCTGATTCTAATATGTAACACTAACATGATGTAGCCACAGGAAAGTTTGAATCCAAGACCATTTGTTTTTATCAGTGACAGACTAATGCCTTATTCTCTTATAAAGCACTGTCCAAAAAATAGTCTTCATGAGAACCTGAATTTTGACCTTATTACTCTAGGAAGACAAATTTTTTGGACACTATCAGTGTAGTTGTTTCCTTCCCTATACCAGGGTTGAATTTTATCATCTAACTCTTAAAAGGAGTTGGAATCAAAGGCTCTGTTGTGCAAAAGGCAGAGGATTCATCATTCAAGACCTACAAGATGACCAAGTATATATAATATTCTTTCAAGGTTTTGAAAAACTCAGGAGTATGACAAGTCACAATTGAAGGGTAAAGTTCAAACACTAAAGATGTTCATATTTCTATTTACCTCCACTATATACAGAGATTCGGAGGCTGTACAACTTTTCATAGCACAGCTCTGGCTTAGATCCAGCCTTTTTTCTAGTTGAAGGATACAAGTTAATGTCTATATTAGATATCTTGAATATGGTTTGTTAGAGCTACAGTGTGAGGCAGACTAAGTCATTTTGACATAATTACAGCCTAGTTAAGAGGGGGTAGCCTTAAGAGAAGTAATAATTGAGTACTGGGTAGTGGGAAAACTGCTCTCCAGGCTCAGCTATGAGGCTCATGTTCAGCTGTTTAGTTTTAATGAGACTAGGAATGTTGTAATTGCTCTTAATGAAGCTAGAATCTTCGTTTCCATCCCCCAAAGAGAGCGTGCAGGTCTTTAATTAGATTGGGATGCGTGAGAGAATAACTGAATCCCTTATGTTCTCAAGGAACTTGTCTAGTCATTGGAAAGAGTAATTTGAGTTAGGAAATACTACTTCAAGTGTGATACTAGATTACTTCCTTGGGAACACCTAGCTTCCTTTCCCTTTTAGAGAACGGAAGTTATCCCAGTGATTAGGAGTGACTTGCCCTCATCTTGTATATATGAATGGAGAGGGTAAAAGACATTAAAGTCACCTAAATGTACCCCTAGAGGTGGACTGTCACTAAGTCCCATTATTGAATTTTCTGGCACTGCCAGTTTTGGGGGTAGAGGGCAGAAAAAGCTGGTGACAGGAAGGAATTAATTCAGGAATACCCTCATTCACATCCACACAGAACAAAGCCTTTCAAAAGGACTGTGGAAAGGTACTATAGTCTCTAAAGAAGAATGATTGCAAGAAGGAGTCCTTGAACTCCATCTAAACTTAAGAAGCAAGAGGCTTACTTCCACATTTTATTTGAAAGTACAATTAGTGGTTTAGCATTGTGATTCTTTTCTTGCGCAGGTAGCTGATTAGGCTTAGAGTTGCCACAACACCTGCTAAGGCAACTACAGCAACCATAGTTTTAAAAGCAACATATCCAGGAGTCCCATGCCCTTTAGAATCCACAGCATCTGGAAAGGAAACAGACATTCAAGTCTTAAGATCACTTACACTTGGTTTAAGTTGAAGCTGAAGCTTTACAATTAAAGTTACCCAGAGAAGGAAGTGAAAATAAGCTTCAGAGGGCTCACTTGGGAGCTTGCAAGAGTCTAGTCTTTCCCCTCAATCCTCCTCGCCTTACTCCACTCCCACGGTTTTTCCCACTTCCTACTTGCTTTCACGCAGATCATATGGGCTGACACCTGGAAGGATCTCACTCCCAGCTTGTTTAACATTCTGGCACTGATGTTATATGGTTATAACTGATGTTATATATGGTTAGTTGTCCCAAGTGCATGATTTCTTGCAGTTAGTAGCTAGTGATTTAAGTCAGTTTAATTTCAAGTTCTAGGCCTAAAATTAAAGACTATCTGGGATGAAGATATATTAACATAATCTAGTAAAGACTAAAGTTTTGTAATAGCAAGCACATGTTTTCTGACCTATTAGTCATTTTAAAGAAACAGCTTGAAATTCTTCTATAGTAGGCCCAATATTTGAGGACCAAGATTTAAGGATTCTAATGTGGCATTAGTGACAAAACTGGAATTTTTTTAGTTATTAACAATGAGAGGTCTCTGTAGTAGGTAGACTAAATGATCCTTGTGGGAAAGGGATTTTGGGAAGGGTAGACGACTTAACAGAACCTGTTGCTGGGAAGAGATACATTCTCTTGTTTAATCATAAGCACTTGATATCTGTGGGCTCCCCTGGTGGTCATTAATAGTAAAGTATCCACCTGCCAATGCAGGAGACACAAGAAAAGCAGGTTCGATCCCTGGGTCAGGAAGATCCCCTGGAGTTGGAAATGGCACCCCTCTCCAGTATTCTTGCCTGAAATATTCCATGGGCAGAGTTGCCTGGTGGGCTACAGTCTATGTGGCCACAAAGAATTGAACATGACTGAGCACACACCTATGTTATCTATGCACACTTAAGTTGACATAAAACCAAGAGCTTCAGTTAAAAAAGTACCTAAGGCTTTGAATCCATACCTCTGAATGAAGAGCCATCTGCCAACAGGAGGATGGGGCCTGGGAGACTCACTATCATCTTCTCTTCCTCAGTGGCCCCTGTGGCTGAAGACAGACAGTTTGACCTCTGGGATAACGAGTAGTGGTAAGGAGTGTTTTGAGGGAACACCTTGAGCTACTCTGTATGGAGTCCCTGCTGTATGTAATCTTGCCTCCTTTCACAGGAGAGAGCATACACCTTACTGTAAAAACAGGATGAACTATCAAAGAATATCAGAAGACAAAGTTCAGAGTTTGCCTAGACTCAGGAAGAATAATTTTTGGGGGGTCTCAAAAGATCAGGCTACAAGTTCATGTGCAAATACAAACTTGTCTATGGGACTGATTGCAAACCTCATAGACTCCTAGGTGTCTTGGGCTCTTGGAGTAGATGAAAAACAAAGCACTCTTTCCTAAATTCTGAAAGGATGAGGCTTGCTTTAAGTAAACTCACATTAATTAAAGACATGAAAATTTTACCTCGCCTGCTTCTGGATGACACAAGGCAAGAAGCAGAACACAGGGGGAGTTTAGAAGAAAGTTGATTGCAGATTAAGGCGCTGCAGTGGAAGTAGACCTGGAGAGGAAACAAGAGTTGAGTGGAACTGATGTCTCAGTCAACCTGTCCCAGGTAACTAGTTAATCACTTACCAAGTGAGGGAACACCGGGGCCTCTGACACAAAAGCAAAGGTCTTCACATCAAACCTCTGATAGTGATTAGGATAGGTCACCGAGGAGCCAACCGGATGGAAGGTAGTTCTGTGGTTGTCCAGGTTGTATTCACAGCTGGAAGGTACATTTCAGGGTGGGACATCAGCTCAATTCACCTCTGGCTCAAACTCAGCATTTGCTCAAATTCAGTCACGTGTAACACTTTCAAGACTATTGCTATACCTTCTACCTGTGCTGTGCTGTGTTTAGTCGCTCAGTTGTGTCCAACTCTGTGATCCCATTTACTGTAGCCCACCAGGCTCCTCTGTCCATGGGGATTCTCCAGGCAAGAATACTGAAGTGAGTTGCCATGCCTTCCTTTAGACGTTCTGCCTGTACTTTTAGTTTATTTCATATACCTCTGATTTGACTATCCAACAGTATCCATGAAGTTATGTTACTTGTGCTGTTTTCTTCTACTTTGAGTTAATAGCGTCAATACCTATTTGTATGCCAGCTAAACTCATCAAGAATTATGTAACTCTTCAGATGACAATGGCTTGTTTCTTATGAATCTGAATATTATGTCCCAGGCAGTTAGTACATGTTGCTGATAAAAAAGGTAGAGAACTGCCATTTTTTATTTTAAATGCTAGCAGAGGGTTGTAGCCTCAGTCGTGTCCAACTCTTTGCAACCCTATGGACTGTAGCCCACCAGGCTCCTCTGTCCATGTAATTCTTCAGGCAAGAGAACCTGATTGGGTTGCCATTCCCTCCTCCAGGGGATCTTCCCCAACCCAGGGATCGAACCCAGGTCTCCTGCAGATCATACATTGCAGGTGGATTCCTTACAACTGAGCAACTGGGGAAGTCCATTCATGTCCTGTCACTTAATATTACTTTGGGCTAGTTATTTAAATTGTAAGCTTGAGTTTCTTTATGAAGTGAGGGGGCTAGTGTCCCTCACGGAGTGTTGTGGTTTAAATAATGCATCTGGAGTACATAGCACTGTTTTTTTGGCACATGGTAGTTATTCAATGGGCTTCTCTGGTGGCTCAGACGGTAAAGAATCTGTCTGCAATGTGGGAGGCCTGGGTTTGATGCCTGGGTTGGGAAGATCCCCTGGAGAAGGGAATGGCAACCCACTCCACTATTCTTACCTGAAGAACTCCATGGACAGAGGAGCCTGGCGGGCTATGTACCCCATGGGATCACAAACAGTCAGACACGATTAAGTGACACACACATGCATTCAATGCACCTTCCCCAGGTGGTTCAGTGGTAAAGAATCTGCCTGGCAATGGAAGTGGGAAGATCCCCTGGAGGAAGAAACGGCAACCCACTCCAGTATTCTTGCCTGGAAAATCCCATGGGCAGAAGAGCCTGATAGGTTACAGTCCAGGGGGACACAAAGAATTAGACACGACTTAATGAGCAAAAAAGTTATCCAATAAATGAATAGGAACTAGAAATCTATTCTCTTTCCAGATGTTAAAGTCATTGTTTCCTTGGGAGGGATCCTTCTAGATACAAGGGTAATAAGACTTGAGTCAACTTATTAGACTGAGGACTGGTTGGTAAGAAATAAGAACAAAAATCAGGGCCTTTGACATAGTGCTCCTCTCAAGCCCAAGAGCATTTTATTATTATTATTTTTTACTGGCAGTTTGATTAGTTGGACTACCTTATGTGGAGAATACATACCCATCCACGATAATATTCCACTGAGGGAGAGAGGCTGGGTCCTTGGTGGATGTTGCCCAGCAATCATCTAAGACCAGCTTGATGTTGGGGTCAGTCCTGTTTAGGACTCTCACTTCTAAGTAAATTGGTTGGCGGAGGTATCTCACCACAGGGTAGTCCTTGTCCCCATATGGCCGCAGGTAGGAATTATCTGCAATGGAGTAGAAGCCACTTTGGTACTCAAGTAGTTGGTGGTTGCCACAGAAGCTTGAGCATCACTACTACTCTAGTCTGGTGCAAAGTTCATTTTAGGAAAGAGTCCCCTGAAAGTATTTAAGCAGATTTTTTAGGTTATAATATCTCACCTGGGTAGGTTTGCAGGGTCAAGGCAAGTGGACCTGGCTTCACTGAGGCTACTGGAGGAGGAAGGCTTTCGATGTTGGTATTTATTAGCATCTTACTGCTGCTATAATAGCACCTCACCGTCATTCTGCAAGAGTGGGTAGGTGGGGGTATTAAGAATTTTAGGTTAAAAGACTGCTCGAGTTTATTCTGGCACTTAAAGTTAAGTAGCAATTGTGTCACACCTGAACTCACTATCTCTGGAAATTGTGCTTGGAGGAAGATCCGCCCAGAGAGCATGTATTTCATTTTCATAGATGACTTTGTCATTCTCAAACTTAGAGTAAGGTTAGAGAAAGTGGTTAGTTATCTCAAAGGTAAGTCTTAATCTCTTGCTAAGTGCCAATACTAATCTTATACTAACCTTATGTCTTGTTCCACATCCATTCAGGGGTATGTGAAACTTTACCAGTCCTTGAAACGGAGCTTTAAAGGTTGGCTGGCAGGAGGAATCTCCCACTCTAATAGTGTCCAAGTTGAGAGCTGGTTTTGTTTGATGGCGGTAGACCTCGACATCCATAAACCCATCTTGAGTACATAGCTCACCTGAAACTATATTAGTGGTGGGAGTTTAAAAAATGTCTGCCATGTGACTATTGTCATTACCAGCTTGGCATGTAATGAAGTTTGGATTTTCATCAGGAGACAACAGAATTTGTCTTAAGTCTATTTGGGAAAATAACTTGACAAGCAGCTTGCATTACAAGGGGGAGGCCCTAAGGTACCGAGACAGCAGTGAGGCTTGTTCTATCTGAGAAGGATTTTTCATCCAAAGGAAGGAGGAGCAGGAGACATGGGAAGAGGCACCAAGTGGGGTAAGAAACCCATGATGAAACCCTGATGCGGCTTGAAGTGTGGTGCCTTGTGTCCTAACGTTCCTTCTTTCAAGATTCACAGATCTTAGTGGTTTGAGGGGAAGTTGAAGCAGCAACTTAATTTTTCCTATTTGACTTGACCTGATACAAATAAAGGACCACAGAGGCAATAGTAAACAAGAGCAAATACCTATATTATTTGAGGAATTTAAGAGTTTGGGGAAATACTCATGGTCCCTCTAGTTTCAGATTTAAAGAAATCTTACTTAGATGGTGGGCTCAGACTTCTAACATGAAGCACACCCAGGTTGCTTAAAAACATTAGACAGTTGTGAAACCTTCCTGTATGTGTATTTTGGAAGTGTTCTCTTACTTAGATTAGAAAATGATCTTTACCTATAGAAACTGTTGACTCGCAGACACACTCAGGATAAATCACCATGGATACCGTCTCCAGTTGAGTATAAAATGTCAGCTTGAGTGAAGATAAGTAGAACTGATAGGGTAGGCATTTTTCAGAGAACTGAAATGAAATATCAGTTAGCAGCCACAGCCTGTTGAGCAGGCACGGGAGATAGGAAGGAAGTACGCTGAAATCTGCAAGGCACACTCCAGACTGAATATGGAGTTCCTTTAAACCAGAGCAAGAGATCCATCACTTCTCTAAACTGGATTCTTCCTGAGACAGGAAATTTCTCAAGTTCATGCCCTAAAGTACCCAGCACTGCATGCTCTTTGTACTAGGAATTTGATCTGTTAATTCAACCCTCTAAAGAGCTGAGTACCCTGCAAATCCAGGAGTTATAAAATGTTATTGCAACATATACACCAACGTAAGATTTTTCTGTGTCCCTGGCAATTGCATCATTCAAGACTGGCTTCATGAGGATAGCAGGGGACACTTGTTTGGCTCAAATTGTCCTGTTTTAATGGGCCATGAAAGGTTCATCATTAGATGCTTAATAGCAGTTTGTACTAGTTAGTGAATGAAGACACTTAAGGAAAACTTCCATTGAAGTTGAAAAAGACTTGGTGTTTGAGAATGAATTTCAGTTACTTGAGAATTACTTATGCAAGCTGTTCAAATGAGGCCTCCCAAGTTTTAGAATTTTTTTTTTTTAACACTAGCAATTAGAATTATCGATAAGTCAGCAGCCAAATTACAATGGCCTAAAAGGCTAGGGTTCAATGGAACGTACTTTTGTTTTAAGGAGAGTTTTGCTGAAATGCAACCTGAGGCCATTTGCTGTTTCCATAACAATCCCGCTGTTGTGCAACTGGTTGACAGCAATATTCTTATCTTCAAAGCTCACAGATTTTAACTTCCCAGGAAATTCTGGTATGGTGAGAGTCATGTGTGTGGCATTACAGGTCACAGGATCTAGAAGGAATGACAGAATGGTCAGCTTTGGTTAAGCCCTTAGAACAATGTCTTCCACAACTGGACTTGCCTTTTCCTAGGCCTTACCTGAAACACAAATGAGTCTTGATGACAAGATGATCGTCTGCCCAGGAGATACATGCGTAAGCTTCAGAGGCACCATGTAGAGATGGCTGTTACCTTGCTGAAGAGAGGCATTTTCAAAGACATTGGTTTACCGGAGTTACTTGAATTTTTAATCAATGCTAGAAATAGTCAAGGCAAACATACTCAACTATTGGGCACCATCTTGGTGCAAGTAAGTTCAGGTATTTCACCCTATAGTTGTTCTTCAGGTGCTCTACTTTTGAAATCTTATACTTTATAACATCTGGCAAGGTGATTTCTACTCATGACCTGTAGCTGATCATTTCTCAGCAGTAAGAGCTCTTGTTTTATGACTCTTTTACCATATCGGTATTCAGAGAGAATGTTTAAGATTCAGCAGTTTGTTTGTACTCAATGTACAACAGTACTGTTAAGATGGCTGATATTTGAACATGTAGGTGCCAAGATCTGTTCTAAGTACTTTGACACATTAACTGATTTAATGTAGTATCCTGGTTGTTGGTCCCCAAAATACCTTCTGTAAACACTAAACGTGGCAATGATAGAACACCTTTGTTAGTTTATTACTACTGTAGCTCCACATTGTTTAGTGAATTTAGATCTATGGAGAAGAAAAACTGATTGAAGTAAGAAACATTTATTTTGTTCACCATTGTATCTCATCATCTTTAGTACTTAGTACAGTGCTTGGCTGTTGAATGAGTTATAACCTCAATTTGAGGAAATGGTAGAGATTATGCTTGCATTTAGAAATACTGGTCTGAGCCTGGATGCTGGTACAAACAGATTTCACACCTACCGAGTAGTGAGTCACTCCAGTGGCATGAAATAACACTTGGATGCTCATCTTCTGGTTCTCAATCAGGATATTATACCCTTGTGTCAGAGCCTCTTGAAGGGTCAGATTTTGGGCTCTTTCACCATCACCAACTGTAATGGTCCATCCCATCTCAGGTTTGGGACCCTAAAGGCAAAAGGTTCATTTAGAGGGCTGGTGCTCACCTTAACTCCAAGACTATTTAGTATTTTTACCAGGATTGAAGTTATGTCACCTTTAGAACTAAAGGTAATTTAGGCTTGTAATTAAAAAAATAGCTTTCATACCTCGGTGTCGTCAGCCATGCCAGGAAAAAAGTGAAAGGTAAACTGGAAGAAAGAAAAAGGATGATGTGAAGCTTTGAGTTGGAGAAGATCTCTGAAGTCATGTTATCTGATGATACATGGAAAACACTCAGAGCAACTGCTGTGTGGTTCTTACAATGTGAGGGCTGGTGTGGGATATAGTAGAAACACAGGACCAGTCAAGAATCCTATAGGTGTCCTTAGACATCATTTCCCCATTGAGCTTTCGAGACCTAAATGTAATTGGAAGATCTAAAGCTCCCTTCCAGTTGTACGTTGAGACACTAAGTCCTGTCAAACCATGCAGTTCCATCATTGTTATAATAAAGTATGAATATTTTTTTCTACTGTTGCTATTAGCCATGTGAGACTATAAAGTCCATAAGTATGTGATTGGGCTGTTTTTCTCATTTACTATTTCCTAGCATCTGGTATAGGGCCTGGTACATAAATATCCAGTTTGTCAAGCTACCGACTGAATCCTTTTTATTGCTAAATATGATGTGCTGCATGCTTATATCTACTTTCTCAGTCAGTTTTTAAAGTCACCTTATGTTGGTGTTATTGTCCCCCACTTCAGATTTTAAAAAGGTCTCATTGCAGTTAAGAAATCAATCCAAAGCTACATAGCAAGTCAGTAGTGAAATACAGATCTTGTTCTGAAGTCCAGCTCTCTCTAGACCACATTCCCCCTGGAGTAGCTGGATGAGAAGCAGTCAGCCTGCTTCACTCACAGACATGAAATCCTTCGAGCAGATTGTGGATCCCGAATGCTGTTCATGTCTTCCTGCTTGCATAACCGGACAGCTGACGTGATACAGGACATTCCCTTGTCTAAAGGCAGCATTGTCATTCATGAATGTGATGGTCATCTGGTGCTGGCCAAGCTGTATGAAAATGGGATAGTAAGGACAGAGTGCTAGAACTTCAACGAGAAAGGGGATTCCAAAATACCATCTGACTCAGCTGATTAGCAAAACCCTTTAAAGCCATCAGTACCACAGTTCTAGAAAGTCCCTCATTCCTAAACCAGGAGATTCTTTAGCCTCTTTAGATATCCCAGGAAAGACTCATTCACTGGAATAGAACAGGTCCTTGAGTTTCAGGGCTCAGACTCCAGTTTTTATTTGCCCTTTATATTCACCCTATGTCTGAGTATCATGGTCCTATTGGGTTTGCTGCCTCTATCAAGAGATAGAAATACTTACTGAGCACCTACTTTAGCAGCCATTGTGCTGGGTGCTGGACAGAGCCATCTTTGCCATTTCCCCTGGCCCAGGGAACTTTGTCTAAAGCAGTGGTCAACTAACAGTTTTCTGTAAAGTGTTAGCAAATATTTAGACTTTGTAACATTTTTAAAGTGCTTAAAAAAACTAAAGCCATTCTTAGCTTGATGACCATCACACACATAGATCATGGACTGGCTGTGGCCACACACAGGTCATATTCTGTGTACCTTTGGTCTAAAGAAATGCAACCCTAAGCTCCCTAAAGTTGGAAAAGGTCATTTCAGAAGGGAAAGTTTTAATTACTGGAAATCTTCAGTAGAATCGGTTAAACCTAAGACTTGTAGGATGTACCCCAGACCTATTAAGTCAACTAAATGAATTCAGTACTTTAGAAGTTCCCTAAGTGATTGTTGGCACACAAGGCTTGAAAAGGACTTAGGCTTCTTTTACTGCTCCTATAACCCTGATAGGGTAGCACCATTGCTTAACAGTAGAAAATCCTATTTTTCAGCTGCTGCTTGTCTTCCAGCATAGAGGTACCAGCACTCCATTTGCCAGCACCAAAATAGCATCCCCTTTTCCATGAGGGTTTCCAAAATGGCTCATGTTTGACCATTTGCTGTCATGCCTAGTCCTTCATTTGTGTCATTCATCTTTAGATACCTTATGGAAAGGTATCATAATCTATTTTCCAGTGAGCAAGTAGAGGCTTAGAAAGGTTAGCTAACTTATTTCAAATCACATATAGATAGTGGCAGAGCCAGAAATAATGCCCAAAGCCTCAATTCAAGGCTTTTGTAAGCTCAGCATTGGAGTTTTGAGCCTAATATATCTTTATTGAGAGTTCCTGTATGCAATGGAGGTTATTTGGCAATATCCTTGGCTTGTACCCACCAGATGACCAGAAGCTGCTCTTTCCCTCCTCCCCTACCAGCTGTGGTAAGTGTCTCCAAACATTGCAGGATGTTCTCTGGGATGACCAAAGAGAAAGATCACCCTGATTGAGAACCACTGCTCTACTGCAAAGCTTTAACTCCTAGGTTGCTACTTTCTAAATTACTCCTCAAGCACTTACCACTCTTTTGGTACAGCTTTCATATGAGGCCTTCAGGGTGAGCTTTTCTGGGTCCAGAACATAAGTGCAGTTCAGCATTTTAAGACCAAGGGAATCTACAGAAACAAGAGCAACTTAGATAGGAGATGGCCAAGATGTATTTACATCTTATATTTCAGTGACAGAGCCAACCAAAACTACATAACCAAGACTGCAAATCCATTTCTAAGGTACTTCAATCACTTCTTACTTTTTCTTTTCCCAACTGGGATATAACCCAAGCTCTGAGAGATGCTGTGACTTGAAGATAGACTTTTTCTTAGGGGATTCCTGAGATAAGACAGATTTCCAAAGACAGACAAGGTCTTCCACTCTTAGGAGTCACCATGCAGTTCAAGGACCCTGTGACATTGTGGAATTTGAGCACCAACTGCTCCAGAGTTTGTTTACTCTGTTCACTGGAAAATGGTGATGACCTTGAGCCAAGGGCTTCCTACTAAGTAAGACTTAAATGAGACAATACACATTACTTACCCACCACAGATGCATGCTGAATCTTGTTGCCAAGAGTTCTTTTAAACTCCACTACCATTCTATCTTCATAGCAAGTGACAGTACCTGAAGAGCAAAGAAAGTACATGGGGCATCTTTGAACACAGGAGGCATGATTTCCTACAGAAGTGTACTGAGGAAACTTCCACTCTCTAATAGGCATCAGGGAGGATACCAGTTGGGAGAGGCAAAGCTTATTCTCCATCCTGGGGAGCTTACAAGTTGATGGGAATACATAACTACAGTGTAAGATACCAAGAACTGTAATGAAGATATCAATGAAATGCCTAGGGCTTTCTGAAGTATTCCGGATTCAGGTTAATAAGTATGCATGCGGGAACCAGCCTGGACCCCTGATGGAAAAGGAGATGGTAGGTCTGTGAACAATTGGGGAAAAGTTTTGTCTAAAGATCTTTCAATTTGAAGTTTAAAAGATTCACTAGGTAACTCCAAGAACAGATTCTTAAAGACTGAATAATCTGCCAATAGCTTGACACTTTGCATCCTCTGGCTCAGGTGAAAATCTTGAGAAACTCCTCATGCAAGTGATTTTGCCTGTTACTGTTGATGCTTTCCTTAAGCATGAGTATGTGTTTGAAGATGACTGCTCCCAAAGATGAGGACTGAGTGTGTGGTTTGCTATTCTTTGGGTGCTGTAAAGCTGGAGGCAGTGAGGAAATAGAAAGTAGTGCAGGTGTTTTTCCAAGCTTTTCCATTTAGCTGTAGAGTAAGCTATAGGAAAACTGAAGTGACTTGATCAAGATAGGCAGAAGAATGACTGGAGATCATCTAACTCACATTTGCGTTTTCTGGCCATAAACTTTGGGTAAGCTCCGGGAGTTGGTGATGGACAGGGAGGCCTGGCGTACTGCGGCCCGTGGGGTCAAAAAGAGTCAGACACGACTGAGCGACTGAACTGAACTGAGGCACCCTAGTTAGAATCTATTTGAGAGATGCTTAAGGGCATTTTTCTCACCCAAGAGGCCTACCTGGGAAGGCAGGATCCACCAACTGATTAACATCTATTGAGTTCACCGAAGTCAAAAGGGCGAAGAATAGAAAAAATGACCTGTAGGTGCAGGAAGGCATGGGGGAGAAAGTTAAAGAGGAGTGAATTTCAGCAGACAAGGCATTATGTCCCCTTCCTTCTGCCCCCAGCATTACCTCTGGTCTGCATGGAACCAGCTTGAGGGTCTCCCGCTGTCTCCTCTCTGCCTGCATGCCATGACGGAAGACACCACCAAATCAACCAGGCAGAGGGGCATGCTGCGCTGGCTTTTATAGCAGGAAGCAGGGCTGGTCCCCGCCCTCTCCCCATTGGAGTCACCTGAATCTTCTCCAGCCCTCCCAGCTGAGAGGAAGGGATTTGGGAAGAAGAGCCTTTCCAGAAGGCCTAAAATAAGCAGAGTTTTGCCCTTCCTGACACTTGGCTTGGTTTCCCACCAGCTGCCCTGCAGCCAATTTAGTTCCTTGAAATGGGCTCAGGTGAATGAATTGGTGCATTTTTAGGACCTTTTGGACAAACTCTTTACAACTCAAATGTAGAGTGAAAGTGGGGTGGGATTTTTTTGGAAGAAAGAACATGTCTTGTTTACACTGTCTTTAAATTGCAAACCTTTCCTGTAAGTTACTCCTGGTCTCCTGGTTATTGTGGATATCACTCTGGCAATGTGCATCAAGAAGTATCTTTTCAAAAGAGATGAAACATAATTTTCCTCCAAGTATAGATTTTAAGTTTACTTCAAAAAATACAGACAATTACAGAAGGATATAGAGAAAGGAAAAATCATCCACTCCTTGTACTTAGGTGTGTAACTCTATGGTCTTTTTCTACAAACATAGCACTTAAAAAACAATAGCAACCTGGGATTGAAGTTGAAGTTATGTTTGCGACCTGCTTTTACTACTTTATATGTCAGGGACATTTTCCATATCAAACATAAAGATCTCTATTACCATTTTTAATGTTGCATAGTATTCAATGTGTAGATA